GGTTTCCTGATTTCAGACTTGGCATCTGAGTTAAGACTGTTAAATTGTGTTCAGTAAACTATTAGCAGGCAAGCGAACACTTGGGGAGGATCTTCAGAAGGCATTACCTGCTGGTCATCAACCTCCACCTTGTTCTCAAATGTCTCTACTGGGATACTGTGAAAACCCACCCCTGTCCAAAAGCAGCTTAACATGGGAAAGAAGTGGCAGCTCAGTGTTAGCTACTGAGAAGGGAAAACCATCTCTCAAGTAGCTGCAGGCTTCCAAGACCTGACATTTTCAGACAACAGTGGCAAAGAGAACAACTAAGAATGAAGACAAAATAACATAACAAAAAACCGCCCCTCTGCACGAGCCTGCAGACCTGTCGGCACTGGCAGTGTCCCTGGCCTTGAGGACAGCTCTACAGTTGCTGGGCAGGCATCTGGCTGCCCTGGAACTTCCTGCATGGACTAAAATTGTTTCACTCCTCTCTCACACTTTCATCAGCTGTAAAATGAAAATAGTAACATATAGGGTACAGCTCAACCTAACCTCACTGATGTCAGAGATGAAATATGCAAAGCACCTAATAACCCATGTGAATGGGTACTCTCACTTGATTTTGGGATTAATAAAGGCATGTAGCACAGCACGTAACATGGTTACTGGCAATACCAAAGGAACTAGATTAAGTGACCCCACATGTCCTTCTACTCCCACATTGCTAAGACTTTCCCAGATCAGATCCCCGGGACTGTACACACAACCAAGACACCCCGGTTAGTAACATGAATACAACCACTCTTATACTTTAGTAAAAACAAGGCAGTTCAGACTTAGCTTTAAGCTGAGCAGTTTAAACAGAATTCAAATAAAATTATTTCACCTCTGTCACAAGCTAATGAAGCACATACAGCACTGCTCAGCAGATACAAGATACCATATTAAACCACAGTGCCCTAGTGATATTTCTGAGGTCCTAGTGAACAGACTATAAGCAGCTACTGATACCCAAGTAGCTGGCATATGTTTTGCCTACAACCAAAGCAAAGAAAAAACATAGAATTGGGTCAGTTTCCAAGATCCTGCCATTCTTTAGAAAGATTTTACCTGTCAAAAACAGGATGTAGCAGAAATATGCAATGTAGAGACAAAGACAACATGGGTGATTAAAAAGATATATCTTCCTTGTGAATAATAACCAACTTAACCAGCTGTGGTTAAGTGGTGGCTTAACCAGGAGTCCTGCTGTGGATACTAAAAATTTATATACATTTAACAAACAAATGGCAAAAAAAAAAAAAAAAAAATCTGTGCAGGGTTTTCTAACCTAAAGCCATCACCTCTGCCTCAGGAAGTCAGGAGTGACAAGTCTCTGCCAGCAATAGAGTATGCAGGAAAAATGGCTACATTTGCACTTTGGTATCAGCTATTGCTGCTTTCATTGGAATGGGACACTGGGACAGACAGATCTTTGTCTGAAATGGTACAGGCATGAGCTTAGTTTTGGCCTAATTTGCATGGAACGTAAATTAGGCAATATTTTTTATATTAAATACAAAATCTTCTACTCAGAGCCTATCTAAATAATCCTATGGCAAGGTAGGATTTGATGCTGAAGCATTTGGAGTCAAAGCACCGAAATACAGGTTTGTCAAGGTCAAAGATGGCAGTTTTGTATATACATCCCATCTTCTTGGTAAAGCTAGTATTTATACTGTTGTTAATAACGTATAAATCTGACTTTTCTGAACTTCAGAAGTTCCTTTGGCATCTAAAAATAGCATATTAACTGGATTATTATCAAATATGTCTGTTGTGATAGCTACACAGAAAAAAATAGATGCACAATTATACACATCTTTTGTAGTCAGTCTTGGTCTTGAGACTCAGGCAAAAAAAATTAGGTATTAAAAGTTTTATTGTTTACTTTCAATGACTAATACCAACTCCTCAGCTTGTACAGCTTAACCTGGGAAAAACTATATGCTACAGAGAAAATCATTCTTTCTTAGAAATCCCATTTGTCATTCACAATACATTCCATCACTGGTAAAATACATTCATTTGATGCACAATGGGTTCAATAACAGTTTTACATTCTTAACATACCTAAACGAAAGGATAGAAATAGCAATTACAGTAATTTTTTTTTTCTTATTCAAGTTAGCTCTCCCAGTTACCTACTATCTTACTTGCAAAGGTTCATTTGAAAAAGAAAACACAAAGCAGTCTAAGCTTATTTACCTAGCTTCATTGATGCTGGAATGTGGGTTTTGTTTAAAACTTTGAAATTAGGGAAAATCTGTAAAACAAATGGAAATCTTGAAAATATCTAGAACTCTAGTCCTGCAGTGGTTTAAATATACCCAGAAAACCCAAGCATAGAAACACCATACAGTTATAAGAACAAAAGAGCAATTTCACCTACTTCAGCAGAATGATGCAGATAAGTTTTGGACTACTTAATTTGGCCATTTCTGAGAAATTTATTTAATTAGACTTTAACACATAACAGTGTGTAATGCAACATGTGAATGTTGCTTTCTGAAGCATTTGTAACAGTTCTTCCCACACCTAGTTTGCCCCACACAGGGAATTTTGAAGCAGCTTCCTATATTTAGTAAAATCATTCTGCTTCACTTTGGGGTTAAGGTCAAGCTTATCCCTAAGTTCAAGCAAGTACTACTGGAGCCAGAGTTACCACTTTTTCTGCATACTTTTTAATCCACTGAAAAGCTAAAGCAACACATGCCTGCTCGGTCCTTGGAGAAAGAGAGTTAAGCAAATGCATTATATGTTTCATTTGTGATGAGTATAAAATGTGCAGAACGGCAAAAACGGTTATAATTTTAACAGGACTTCACGGGTCGCCCTGTATGCACCAGCCCCAGCTGCAGCCAGGAGAGCTGACCAAAGCACAGTGCTGAACCATGCTAGCCGTCAGCGCTGAAGTTACTGCGATTAACGTGGAAAAATCTTCCTACACCATGCTAACAAGAGGCAGCGAAGAATGCTCAAAGAGAGTGTACAGAAGATCACTCCTCTCCAATTGTTATCACTTTGGGGTGTAGAGTCAAAAAGACAACATTAATGGAAATAAATTTCATTTAGGATGTTTTTCCTTTTTTTAAATAAAAGCTGAAATCACAAAAAAAACCATAAAGCCTTACTGAAACCAGTGCAGAAGATTCAAGAAACTACATTCACATGAAATTCTTCCAAGTCTGATAAATAGTATTTGTTTACTTAATGTAGTAAAATGGAGAATGGAGTGCATAAATGACAATTGAACAATGCTATTTTCCATTTGGGTAGAGATCTGGCTTTTTATCCTCCTGAAATTTTGACATTAAAGAAATCATGGAAAAGAACAGTTGCACAAAGAATATGGAGTGTGTGAAATTTTCTTTCAATTAAAAAAAAAAAAAGATCAGTTCATCTCATTGCAGTGTTTTGCAGGAGCACTAACTATGGAAGATAAAGTATTGCCATAAATCATCAGGTATTTTATTGCAGTAAACATCTGCTGCTCCTGGATATAGATATGTAGTCAAGGGAGCACTTGAAAAGGAATAAGGAATGCCAGGTACTCTAGTTACTGAAAAGTAATATTAAAATCAGGATTTCTTTTGCTTTTCCCATTAGGACTAAACAGGTTATGAATTTATACGGACCTTAATGGTTATACTGATTTATTCTATTTCCAAATTAAGACCACGCCTTCAAAACCTTTCATTGAATCAATGCCAAAAGACTGTTCAAGTTGGGTTAAACATATTGGAACAATGCAGTATTACGCTCACAAAAAAAATCTTAGCCAAAGCCATAATTTCCAGCAGCAGATATTAATGTTTGTTTTGGAATTCAGCCATTTGAGTAAATACTGAACTTTCAAAAAACACCTTAGTGGAAAGGAGTGGAAGGCAGAGTCCAAACGAAGGCTCACGCGAGTTGGTACATCCATACAGCACAGTGTTGTTTTAAGCATGCACAGTAATTTGGGTTCAGAATTTGCATTTACATGGCACAGAGCCTGGGCTAATATGTTCTGCCTTTCAGCACAGATTGTTAGCTCAGGCTCAGCGCCAAACTGACAGGGCTATACAACACCAGGCTCTGGAGTGGTCTCTATGCTGTACTTATCGTGCTGTATAAGCAGACTATTAGGAGAAAAACACCTATAGTTCAGATGCTCCTTTTGGCACTTACATGGTTTTGAAAGTTCTGTCTCTTTATATGTACACTTCTCCCCTTCAAAGTTTTGGATGCTATTTCCTTATAGTGATGGCAAGCAAACTCTTAGCCCTGGAACCCCCACATGGGAAAACATTAGTGGCCACCTCCCTACTTGTCTTCCTGTAGCTTCTAACAGATGGGTTTTCTCCTACCTATCCAATCTTTCTTACAGGGACAAAAGAAACTCTTCCTTTGTCCTTGATGCTCCTATCACAGAAAGAGTGGCTCCCAGTTTTGATAGCATTATGGTTTTGTACATCATACCATGGCTCCAGCAGCAAGGCAGTTGCTTCTTTTCATCCTACACAATTAAAAAGAAACTGCTTCTGCCTGCCAAGTCTGTCTTCTTGTAAGGACGCTTATATTTTCAGACAGATGCATTAGTACAATATGTATCATGTTTCAAAAGGGCTGGTTTGAGTAAACTTTAAAGGTATCTCCTAAAACAAACAAACAAAAAAGTTAAAGGAGCTTGTCTTGCAAAGAATATAAACCCAACCAAACTATCAAACTACTCTGGGAATAAGCAAAAAACATTTGTTCCAGGAATCAAGAGAAGCCTCCCCAAAGATGCAAGTGAGAAATGAGAGCGCTACAGATTGGAAAAGATTCATAAGAATAAATAAAAGACAGAAAGAGAATGGGAAGAGTGAACAGTTAAGGAAAGGTGAATTGCAAAGACACTCCTTTAAATGCTCTCTAGTTAAATGTTAAATACTAACTTTTACTATTTTAACTGGAATTAGTGTTGACTACAAATGAAAAAGATAAATTCTTACCTTCAACTGCCAATGATACAATGCCTTGTGTGTCTTCAACTCCGTACATAACATCACAGCGATACACCCCTGCATCACTTGCACGCAGCTTAGAGATAGTCAGCGAAGCGTCACCAGTCTCCTCTGAATGGGTCGGAACAGACACTCTGTCTTTGTAGCTTTGACCAATTTTGATGTTGCCATTTTGGGCCACCAGGACTGTGGTTTCTTTTGCATCTTTTCCACTTTTATCGAGTTCAACCTTTGACCATTTGATTCGAAGATACTCAGCTGCATAGCTGGAGGCTATAGTGGGTGTGGTTGAAAAGAAACATGGCAGGACGGAAGTTCCAGAGAGAGATGCCTTTACCAGGGTTTTTTTTTCTGCTTTAACTAGAAAAAGGGCAAGAGAGGGGTAGAGAAAGGAGAAATCACGCTAGTGGAATAGCAAAATCAGAAACAGATATATTTCATTATTATTTAACAAATCACAGACATACAAGGCCTGAAATCCATGAACCTTGGCTGCTTTGTAACAGAACTGATTACTATAAGCTAAAAAAGTTTGCACCAATATCCTAGGCTACTGATGGACCCCTTTTCTGTTTGGGCAAATGTAATTCACTGTTCTCTGACTTTTCTCCATTTGTTGTAGTCACCAAGTTATTGACCTTTTTCAGAAACTGTTTTGAAATTTTAGATGACAGATGAATTTTTACTTCAAAGGAGGAAGACCACTCTGAGAGAAAGATGGTAAGTTACCTCAAATCTATTGGTGGCCAAAAGCATGCATATAGGGGAGCTACTGATGTTTACACCTTGCCTTACCTCACAGTAGCTTGTTCATTTGCTCCTGCCCTAAGAGGAAAACATAGCCCATGACTTGGCATACATGACATTGCCTACCCCGTTATTCTTTCAAGGGTTAACTCTTTGTATCGCATTGATGCTGAAACGAAAGCCTTTCCAGTGAGATTCTCCCAAACAGTCATTCTTTTAAAATTACTTCCTTGTAGCCTCAGGGACTTTAACACATTGCAGAACTAAAGTATTTCAGAATGTTGAAGCAAAGAAGGAAGTAAAGCACACAGAAAGTCCCTACTTGGCTCAGTCTTGACATGATAGGACCTTTATCATTTTTTATGACATCTCCAGCTGCAAGCACTTTACAGTGAAATGCTTCCATCTGACAATATCCTGAGGGGAAAGTTGACTACTGTTCATCCAACCTGCACACATCAACTGTCTGAAGAGAGGATTTCTGTTAGATTTATTTTTAATGTGATGTTATTTCACCATACATAATGGCTTAATGAAGATTAAAAGCTGATGCACAACAGTATCTTACCTCTTTCACTGTTCTGCACTCTAACATTTTGTGAAAGGTGGAACATGCTGATCATTAATTTGAAGTGAGCTAGGATTCATAAAATTTAGAAATATAATAACTTCACATACTAGCTACCAACAGAATGATACATGAAATAGGAGACACCAGCACATGAAAATTATCTAGCTATTTATCTATCATAAAAAATATAATCTCTCCATAAAAAGTAGAAGATTTGGGGGGGAGGAGGGGCATGGAAGAAGGAAAAAAAAAAGGACAAATTGCTCATTGAGTTGATTATTTTTAACAGCAACAGATGACTTTATATAGAGTAAAGTATTAATAGCATTATCTAAAAAGGCTGAATACAAGAATCAGCAGCTTGATGGCCAAGCATTTTAACAATAAAGTAACAACTAGGGGGGGAAAAAAAGGAAAAAAAAAAAAAAAAAAAAGAAAAAAATATGGACTGACCAAGGAAGACCCAGAAGTTTGAATGGAAGTCCTCGGGTCCTTTGCATTCATGCCTACCTAACTAGAAATTTTTGGGAACACAATGTAGATACGTTCAACATGACCATATCAAAACTGATTAGACCAGAGAGAGTATAAAACAATGGAGTAGAGCTCTGCCAAAACATCTGTGTTGCACCCAAAGCTCAGCTGAAAAGTTCACATGGAACGGCACTGTCTGAGTACATTTACTAGCAAGATGCTCACTCTGTGATTCAGGCATGCAGTGAGATTTTCATTCTTCCATTAACTTGTAAACAGAGACCAGTTATGGTACAACGCACCTTTAATAATCAAAGAAACTAATCACTTCATACAGTTTGGGCCCAGACCAAGCAAGAATCTATTTGTAAAACAGGGAAAAATAAAAGCAGGTCCAATCTAGAACTGGAGACTGGAGAATTCACAAGGCTTGAAGACAATCCTGTAGAAGGTACCGAAGACTAAAGACTAGCTCAAAAACTTTGACTGCATACATATTTCTTTAGGGGAAAAAAAACCTTGAGTGTTTTTGTTTTAATTATTATTTCCACAAGGAAATAATAACTCACCTCACCTAGAGTCAATTGATTGCACTAGAACTAGAAAGGACTGATTTTATTCTGAAGATGTACAGTATGGAAACACCATTGCCTTTTACATAACCTTTAATTTCTTGAAACTTCACTGAGTTACAGTGGGGTAGAGATAAAGAAACAGAATGAATACTCAGTCGTATCAGTTAGGATGGAATTACTGCCAAATTGCACAGGTGGGAGATTAAAATCAGTCTCAAAATATTTAGTATTTATTATGTTCTCTTGTCATCTACATATATTACAGGAACTTCTTAAATGAAAAATGACCTAGTTATAATTATCCTGACTGACAGAATTTTAATAAACTTTTAAGAACATTGTTTCTGTTTATGAGTGATCTGGAATATCAGCACTGAACCCTGAGGAAATTTCCTCTCTTTAAAACTTGTGTCTTCACATCAGCAGACTGAAACCCTTGGCAAACAACATATATCATAATGATATGCAAACTAGACCTATGCTACATTGGGCTTCATCCCAGACTAGGAGACTATGTAGCTACAAACATGCCCGTCTAACTGTACAAAGTATTTTAAAACACTACGTAAAAGCACTATTTGACAAGAGGAGTGGACAAGAAGAGGGGACAAGCTTTTCCCTACTAAGAAAAATAAAATAATATTTGGCACTGAAACATAAGATTAAATTATGTTCCTGCACAGTTCCAAAAAGCTTGATTTCTTGCAGCTGGCCAAGTTAGTCAGTCAAGCAGAATTCACTGGCCAATGCAGAAAGTATCAATATCTTCTACGAATCCCTATAGCCTTTTTGTTCCTTTAGCATTTCCCAGGGCTCATACTCCATGTTATATCTCCTTTTCAGCCACTATTAATGGTATGTGATAGACTATTCCTTAGAAGGGTCATAAAATGAACAATACGAACAAAACATTTTGCAACTGTTTGGAAGACAAACTGAGAAAAGCAGGTATTTGCCAACATTGTTTATACCATATCTTCACCTCGCCATGTAGGACCTAGAATACTTGTAACCTCACGTACTCTTAAACAAGAGGATGGTTTTGAAATTATTAAGCTGGTTGTCAATTTATATAAGCTTTTTTTTTCTGTTGCTAACTCATATGTATCACTCATGCATAAATAATTTATTAGGGAAAATATATAAACAATAAAGAAATAAAACACACAGGTCCAAATCACCTGGCCACAAACGTTCTTGGCAGAACTCCCAGCAAAGTCAATGGGAGATTTGTATAAGATGATGGAACTATGAAGTAGGGCCGAGAGCAGCAAAATGCAGTCAGATTACAGGCAGACTTGGTAGATAGCATGCCTTACAGTTGGGTATTTTTGCTGTGTTCCTCTGTTTAAATATTAAATATCTCCAGCATCAGAATAAGTAGCAGGAACAGAATGCAGAATGAAAACTTCTCCCATGAGATGTCCTGACAGAAGACAGTCCTGTCAGGTCTAACTTATTGGGTAGGATTTTGCCACAACTTATTACTGCCTTATTTTCTCCAAACCTAGAGCTATGGCTATGCATTTGTGTCAGTTTATCATGAGGATGATGGCATGACTCTTTCTTTAAAAAATAAAAAATAAAAATTGCAGCTTGCCTTTTCATGCTTTTGTCCACAGCAAAACTGCCTGAGGTCCTCCCAGTTTACCATTTCAGCTGCAATGACACATAGCTTGATATCTTTCTTCTGAAGTGGGAGACAAACTACAGAAGAACTTCTTGCTTGAGAACAAAAAAAATCCCTAGAATTTGTACATTTTTTTTGTTGTAAATGTTACAAAACTCTTAAAGTAGAAATCTAAAGAGAAAAAAAGGACAGAAATTTGCCCTTTTGTATTACATTAACCATAACAACCAGACCAGGAGGTCTGTAATGCACTAGAAGTCTAACGAAAAGAATACCCTACATGAAATGCCACTGTTTAAAGGAACAATTTTGCTATGTAATTAAGTTTAACTGAAGAGAATGTTACTACTGAGCATGCAGGCAAAAACCACACGTTTAAAGAATAAAAAAATCTATATACATTAAGCCAAATTTATAAGACAAAAAAAAATTGAATCTCATTTTTTAGTTCATCAACAACCTGCCTAGACACATGGTAAGCAATAGAAAGGATCAATGAAGTTATGTGTTCTGTTAATCTGACTACTAACACTGAGCCTAATAGAAGTCTTTTCATAGAATCACAGAACGGTTTGGGTTGAAAGGCACCTTAAAACTCATCTAGTTCCAACCCCCTGCCATGGGCAGGGACACCCTCCACTAGCCCAGGTTGCCCAAAGCCCCATCCAACCTGGCCTTGAACACTGCCAGGGAGCCAGGGGCAGCCACAACCTCTCTGGGCAACCTGTGCCAGGGCCTCACCGCCCTCACAGGGAAGAATTTCTGCCTTAGATCTAATCTAAATCTATCCTCATTCATCTTAAGGCCATTACCCCTTGTCCTATCACATTAATTATAAATCTTTTAATGTAGATGATGATAAATTAAAATGAATGCACTGCTTACACAAACTTGTATGAAACCCTGACAGCAGAGGTAACAGACTGAGACCCAACAAAAACCCTCACTGAGTTCTTTACCAGGTGATTTGTGGTCTGAGCAAGCAAAGTAAGAGAAGGAGGCATAGAGTGATGAAGAAACAACTCCTTACATATTCTGCAAGAAACTCACAGGAAACCAGGTAAATGTAAATCTCAGCTGTAGAACTCAACATAATGTATGCAGACAACACAGGCATGCACACAGGTATTTTATAGCACATACAGAACATAAACATAATCAGATAAACTGATGTTCAAACCGGTACATTATTTATATACCTTTGAAAGAACATATCACACACTGCAATCTAGGGGATTTCTACTGTCTTCTGGATTACAGGGCTTTCACAAAAGCATACTCACCCATGGCATGACAAATAGTTGCTTAAAATGGGTAAGATAAACTCCAACATTGATCATAATCACAGACTCCACCTTATAAACTACAATATCTTAACATCAGCTAGCTCAAAGTGAGTAAAGGCCACACTAGCAGTAGGTGTAAACCTTGCTCGTGAGCTTCTGTCATTAATCCTTCACACGCACCAGAGCAAACAGCAAAGGTCTCGCAGAGGGGCACTCCTGTGACCCCAGAAGCTTACACCGTATTTCCTGCTGCCTTCCTGACACACATCTTCTGAGAATTTAAAGTCTTTAAGAAGCCGTGCAAGACCATTCTCAATTTGCCCTCAAAGGAAAAATACTTTTGTTGCTACATAAAATCTAACAAGCACACCATGGAAACATGCTAGGTATTTATGAATGTGAACATTCACAAAGATGAAAGCGGGAGAGAAAACAAAGATGGGAATAACGATTAGTGGTGAATCCATAAAACCCTGCATGCTTATAACTTGCTGTGTACTAAATTCAGTTTCAGTTTTGTTATGACTTAATATTAAGACTTACAGATTCCAGAATTTATACTTTAAAAATTACTGCTGATTTTGACACATTTCCCATATGACTCTTGAAAGAAAAATTTTAAACTTTCAGAACAATTTTGCCTGAAAGCTTTTTAAAGGAAATATTGCAAAGCACCACATTGAAGTGATTATTTAATTAAACTTAGTTAAAATACATGGAGTGATCCAATCCATTGGGGGAATTGAAGCACGGGAATTTGTGTTTCATGAAAGATTTCAAGGCCTCAATTTTATATTCAAATTCAGGATTTCAAAAGAAAAAAGGTGAAACTTAAGATGTCTAACTGTTCAAAATGCAGAGATATATTTTTAGAGGTTTTTTTAAACAAAAGAATCAGCTGCACTTGGACATCTTCCACCATATCACATTGCTGAAAGCCTCATCCGAGTCTCCTGTGAGGACAGGCTGAGAGAGCTGGGATTCTTCAGTCTGGAGAAGAGAAGGCTCCCAGGACACCTTATAGCAGCTTTCCAGTACCTAAAGGGGCTACAGGAAAGCTGGAGAGGGACTGTTTACAAGGGCACGCAGTGACAGGACAAGGGGGAACGGCCTTAAGCTGAAGATTCACGGCCAGGTTGGATGGGGCTTTGGGCAACCTGATCTAGTGGAGGGTGTCCCTGCCCATGGCAGGGGGTTGGAACTAGATGGGCTTTGAGGTCCCTTCCAACCCAAACCGTTCTGTGATTCTATGACTTTGAACACTTCTAGGAATAGGACATCCACAACTTCTCTGGGCAACCTGTTCCAGTGTCTCACCAACCCTACTGTAAAAAATTTATTCCTTATGTCCAATCTAAACCTACCCTCTTTCAGTTAAAAACTGTTTCCCCTTGTCCTGCTTTGGTAAAAAGTCTCTCTCTATCTTTCTTATAAGCTCCATTTAAGTCTAAGTGGCTTATCAAATAAAAACTCCCAAGTTCACTGTGCAGACTTACATTGCAAGTCCATGACCTCTTCTGGCAATCACATACTTTGCCTCTCCGAATGCTTCATACGAACAAATTATTAAATGTCAGCTGTGGATCCAAGATCCATACATCAGTCTACACTTACAGACAGTTTAGTGTCAGCCCTCCATGAATAAGGAAATGAAGCTCAGTTTTAGTGGCTTGCCCCCTGCTTGAAGCTTTGAGTCTGTTGTCCCTGAGGACAGGTCTAATCATCCTCCCTGTTGTATGTTTAACGAAGAATGGAAAAACAAAACCAGCTTTAAGGAGGAAGTGATGGTACAAAACAGTAAAGGATAGTGCTCCCAACCTGGAGGAAAAAAAACCCACTTTTTTTTTTTTTTTAGGTGGCTAAGCACAATGGTCTTTTCCTTTATCTTACAGGATTACCTAAAAACTTTGCTAGAAACAGTGTTCAAGCCAGCAAAAAGAAATGAGTACATCTCATTTTCCCAAAGGCTAAAATCAGTTTGAGGAGCTCCTGGAAAGAAAAGAATGTTCCAAAAAAAAAAAAAAAAAAAAAAAAAAAATCAAGAAAAATCTTGCTTTGAGACTTGAGAAAGCTGTTATCCCAATTTTGTGAGTCTGCAGCAGCTGTAGGGACCTCTTCCTTACTAAAGGCTTGACTCAAACTTTGAAATAACTGTGGCAACCACACATGAATACATACTTCAGTGTTAGCATGTAGTCACCAAGTAAAAAGGGCTCCTCCTTTCCACCCAAACCAAAGACCTGCAGATGCCCTAACACGTCTTTGCTCCAGACCACACCAGCCAAGGGACAGGCCACCAGGTTAGCTCATGTAGCCCCCCCACAACAGCGGGCTGGCAGCCAGACTGCCCACTCCAGGAGGCATGTCTCCAACTGCTCCTTGACAGATCACAGATCAATGCAGAAACTGAGGCTACTGTTTTCCCCTGTATCCTACCTGCACATGGCACCTTTCACCCTGAATACAGAGAGGGTGTGAGCTGTGACCTATAGACCCAAAAGGCTGCTATGGCACGAGATACATAAGCACATGCATTTGGATCTGACCGGGAGGTATGCCAAACCAGTATTCCTGTAGCCCAAAACCTCCCCCATTTCATTCACCACTTCTGCAGCCTGGCTAGGTCTGTTCCAGGAACCTGCTCCTGCTTCTGTGCTGCTGGCACTGCTCACTGCTCCCTCCCTGGCACCTGACTGAAGCTCCCATGGAAGCTGTCTGCCCCCGCTAAACTTAGCACCCCCCATCAGCCCTCACCTCGTCTACTGCAAGCAGCTCCTTAGTGGATGATGGAAAATGAAGGTGTGAGACATACCTGGCCAACAGGTCCAACATTTCAGAAACACAGGTTAAAGGATTAAAATGCATTCTTGAATATTTGGAGAAGGCAATTTATTTTGCTTTACACAGTGTAATTCTACGGCATTTTCGTTATTATTACTTGAATTATAGTAATGGCACTTACAAACCTCAGCAGACATGACAGGCATGTAAAAACCTTGTCAAAAATATGCCCACACACCAAGAGTTTTCTGTATAAATCAGTACGGTAATGAGGAGAACATGGAAACAAAGTTAGTTAGTGCAACAAAAACAGTGACACAGGCAAGACCAGAAACTGAATCTTCTGAATTCAGGTTGATGCCTGAGTCCTGGGAAATACCGTACTAACTGGACCACTAAAATGAATTTTAATGAATGGTTCTGTGTGTAACAAACTTACCTTTAGGTAGCATATATGTTATAACTAACGTAGAGTACATCCATAAGATACTTTTTATACTTAACAACATCTTGACCTACAAATAAAGAACAAAGGAGTAAGTGGTTAGTATTGCATTGTGTCCTTATCAAGTGTTGTAAGTCAGTACATCAATGTTTGTCATTGATATTAGAAGCAGTCATCTACTTAAAAGAGATGT